CCTCTTTCTTTCTTTTTATTTTTTTTCTGTCTTCGCTCTTTCTCTATTTTTTACTTTTTCTTTTTTCTTGTCTCTTTGTGTTTTCCTTTGTCTACTCTTTCTTTTTCTTCTACTTCTTTGTTGTTTTGTCTCTTTGTTTTTTCTTTTTTCTCTTTTTGCCTGGTGCTTTGTCTCTTTTTTTCCTCCTTCTTTTGTCTTTTTCTTTTTTTTTTTTCCCTCCGAATTCTCTTTTTGCTTTTTTGTTTGTTGCTTCTGTTCTCTGCCTGTCAGTTCCTGTTTTGTCCTCTGCTGTCTTCCCCTCTTTCGCTGCTCCTTCTCCTTCCTCTTTCTGTTTTCTTCTCTGTTTCTTTTCTTTTTCTCTTTGCTTTCTTTTTTGTGGTTGACTTTGTTCTCTTGCCTTATTATTTCTTCTTTCTTCTCTTGTCTCTTCTTTCTGTTTTTCTTTTTTTTCTCTTCTTTTCTCTCCTTACCTTTGCCTTTTCTTTCTTTTGTGCTCCTTTCTCTTTGCCTCTTCTTTGTCTTTCCCTTCTCTTTGTCCTCTTGCTTTTTTTTATTCCTTTTCTTTCTTTTCTTGTCTCTCTTCTGTTTTTCCCTTTCTCTTTCTTTGCTCTTTCCTGTGTCTTTTCTTCTGGGCCTGTTTTCCTCTCTTTCCTCTGTTTTTGTTTTTGTCTTCTCTCTCTTCTGCCTTTCTTTGTGTCTTGCTCCTTTTCTTTCGTCTCTGAGTTTTTCTTTTTTTTCTTTTCTTCTCTTCTGCTTTTGCTACTTGCCCTCTCTCTTTCTTCTTTTTTTTTTCTCTTTTTCTTATGTTTTCTTTTTTTTTTCTTTTCTTTCTTCCTGTTTTTGTCTCTTTTTTTTTGGTTGTTTTTTTTTTCTGTTTTTTTCTGGCTCTTCTCTTTTATTCTGTTGTCTTTTTTCTCTGCCTCTTTTGTCTTCTGCTTTTTTCGCTTTTTCTTCTTCCTTCTTTGCTTTTTCTTTTTCTCTTTTGTTTTTTTCTTGTTGTTTGCTTGCTTTCTGTTTCTCTCTTTTTCTTTGCTTCTTTCTATTTCTTCTTTTTGTTTGTCCCCTGTCTCTTTTTCTTCTTTCTTTTTGTTTCTTTGTTGTCTCTTTTTTTCTCTCTGCTTTGTTTCTTCTCTGCTTTTTCTTTTTCTCTTGATGGGTTCTCGCTCCTTGTCTCTTCTTTCTTTTTCCTTCTCCTGGCTCCTTTCTTCTCTCTGCCTGTCCTTTTTTTTTCTTTTTCTTTCCTTTGTTTCTTTCCTTTTACTTCTCTTTTTTTTGTCTGTTGTTGTTTTGGTGTTTTTCTCATTCTGGCTCTCTGCTCTTTTCTCTCCTCTTGCTTCTCTTTTGTTCTTCTTTGTTTCTTTGCCCTCTCTCCTTCTCTGTTCTTTCCTGGCTTTTTTCTGTTTTCTTCTGTGCCTTTTGTATGCCTTTCTTTGTTTTTGATTTCTTCCTCTTTTCTGTCTCCTCCTTCTTTTCATGCCCCTGTGCTTTCTTTTTCTTCTTTTCCTCTTCTTTCTTCCTCTTCTTTTCCTCTCCTCTTATATTTTTTTGTTCTGTTCTTTTTTTTTTTTTCTTCTTCTTTTGTTATTCTCTCCTCTTGGCTCTTTTCTTCTTTTTGTCTCCTCTTTTTCTTCCTTTTTGTTGTTTTCTTTTCTTTCTCTTTTTCTTTGTTCTCTACCCTTTTCTTTCTTCTGTTCCTCTTCTGCTTTTTTTTTCTCTTTCCTGTCTTCTTCTTTCTCTGTTGTTCTTCCCTTTCTTCTTCCTTTTTTGCTGCATATTTTTCTGTCTCCTCCTTTGTTTCTCTCCTCTTTTTTCCTTCTTTTTCATTTTTTTTTTGTTTCTTTTTTCTCTTTTCTTTGTTGCTCTTTTTTTTTCTCTCTCTTTTCCTGTTGTTTTTTCTTGTCGTTCTCTTTTCTTGTCTGTTTGTCGTTTGTCTCTTCTTGGTCTCTTTTTTTTTTCTTTTTTTTCCTTTTGCTTCTTCTTTCTTTTCTTTTTTTTCTTTCTCTTCTTCTTTTGACTCTTTCTCTTTGCTTGTCCTTTTGTTCTCTTTTTTGCATTGTTTTTCTTTTTTGTCTCCTTATTTTTCTTTTCTCTTTTGCTGGCGGACTTCTTCTCCTCTCTTCTTTTTTCTCTCTGTTTTTTTTTTTTTCCCTTCCTCTTTTTCTTCTTCTTCGTTCCTGTCTCCTTTACTCTGTTGTTTTCTTTCCCTCTTTTCTGTGATTGTTTGTCGTTTTCTCTCTGCTTCTTTCAGCTTTCCTCTCTTTCTCCTGTCTTTTTGTCTTCTTCTTCTTGTTTTCTCTTTCTCTTTAGCCTTGTGTGCCTTTGCTTTTTCTTTGTGTTGCTTTTTTCTATTTTCTTCTGTTTCTCTCTCTCTGTCTTTTTTTTCTTTCTTTTTGTTACTTTTGTTTGTCTTCTCTTTCTTTGATTTTCTTTTTTCTGTCCCTTTTTGATCCTTCCTTTTTCTTCTTCTTCTTCTCCTGTCTTTCTTCTTTTTTCCTTTCTTTGTGTTCTCATCTCTTGTATTTTTTTTTTCTGGGGGGACTTGTTCTTCTTTCTTTTTTTCTCTTTGCTCTCTCTCTGCTGTTTTCTTCTTTTTTTTTCTCTTCTTCTTCATTCTTTCTCTGTTGTCTTTTTGATTTGGACTGTAGTGGACTGTAGTGGACTGTAGTGGACTGTAGTAGACTGTAGTGGACTGTAGTGGACTGTAGTGGGACTGTAGTAGACTGTAGTGGACTGTAGTGGACTGTAGTGGACTGTAGTAGACTGTAGTGGACTGTAGTAGGACTGTAGTAGACTGTAGTGGACTGTAGTAGGACTGTAGTGGACTGTAGTGGACTGTAGTGGACTGTAGTGGACTGTAGTGGACTGTAGTGGACTGTAGTGGACTGTAGTGGACTGTAGTGGACTGTAGTGGGCTGTAGTGGGCTGTAGTGGACTGTAGTGGACTGTAGTGGACTGTAGTGGATGTAGTGGACTGTAGTGGACTGTAGTGACTGTAGTGGACTGTAGTGGACTGTAGTGGGCTGTAGTAGACTGTAGTGGACTGTAGTGGACTGTAGTAGACTGTAGTGGACTGTAGTAGACTGTAGTGGACTGTAGTGGACTGTAGTGGGCTGTAGTGGACTGTAGTGGGCTGTAGTAGACTGTAGTGGACTGTAGTGGACTGTAGTGGACTGTAGTGGACTGTAGTGGACTGAGTAGTAGACTGTAGTGGACTGTAGTGGACTGTAGTGGGCTGTAGTAGACTGTAGTGGACTGTAGTGGACTGTAGCGGACTGTAGTAGACTGTAGTGGACTGTAGTGGACTGTAGTGGACTGTAGTGGACTGTAGTGGACTGTAGTGGACTGTAGCGGACTGTAGTAGGCTGTAGTGGACTGTAGTGGACTGTAGTAGGCTGTAGTGGACTGTAGTGGACTGTAGTGGACTGTAGTAGACTGTAGTAGACTGTAGTGGACTGTAGTGGAATGTAGTGGACTGTAGTGGACTGTAGTGGACTGTAGTAGACTGTAGTGGACTGTAGTGGACTGTAGTAGACTGTAGTAGACTGTAGTAGACTGTAGTGGACTGTAGTGGACTGTAGTGGACTGTAGTGGACTGTAGTAGACTGTAGTGGACTGTAGTAGACTGTAGTGGACTGTAGTGGACTGTAGTAGACTGTAGTGGACTGTAGTAGACTGTAGTAGACTGTAGTGGACTGTAGTAGACTGTAGTGGACTGTAGTGGACTGTAGTAGACTGTAGTGGACTGTAGTAGACTGTAGTGGACTGTAGTGGACTGTAGTGGACTGTAGTGGACTGTAGTGGGCTGTAGTAGACTGTAGTGGACTGTAGTGGACTGTAGTGGACTGTAGTGGGCTGTAGTAGACTGTAGTGGACTGTAGTGGACTGTAGTGGACTGTAGTGGGCTGTAGTAGACTGTAGTGGACTGTAGTGGACTGTAGTGGACTGTAGTGGACTGTAGTGGGCTGTAGTGGACTGTAGTGGACTGTAGTGGGCTGTAGTAGACTGTAGTGGACTGTAGTGGACTGTAGTGGACTGTAGTGGACTGTAGTGGACTGTAGTGGGCTGTAGTGGACTGTAGTGGACTGTAGTGGGCTGTAGTAGACTGTAGTGGACTGTAGTGGACTGTAGTGGGCTGTAGTAGACTGTAGTGGACTGTAGTGGACTGTAGTGGACTGTAGTGGACTGTAGTAGACTGTAGTAGACTGTAGTGGACTGTAGTGGACTGTAGTGGGCTGTAGTAGACTGTAGTGGACTGTAGTGGACTGTAGTGGACTGTAGTGGACTGTAGTGGACTGTAGTAGACTGTAGTGGACTGTAGTGGACTGTAGTGGACTGTAGTGGACTGTAGTGGGCTGTAGTAGACTGTAGTGGACTGTAGTGGACTGTAGTGGACTGTAGTGGGCTGTAGTGGACTGTAGTGGACTGTAGTGGGCTGTAGTAGACTGTAGTGGACTGTAGTGGACTGTAGTAGACTGTAGTGGACTGTAGTGGACTGTAGTGGACTGTAGTGGGCTGTAGTGGACTGTAGTGGACTGTAGTGGACTGTAGTGGACTGTAGTGGACTGTAGTGGACTGTAGTGGGCTGTAGTGGACTGTAGTGGACTGTAGTGGACTGTAGTGGGCTGTAGTAGACTGTAGTGGACTGTAGTGGACTGTAGTGGACTGTAGTGGGCTGTAGTGGACTGTAGTGGACTGTAGTGGGCTGTAGTAGACTGTAGTGGACTGTAGTGGACTGTAGTGGACTGTAGTGGACTGTAGTGGGCTGTAGTGGACTGTAGTGGACTGTAGTGGGCTGTAGTAGACTGTAGTGGACTGTAGTAGACTGTAGTGGACTGTAGTGGACTGTAGTGGACTGTAGTAGACTGTAGTGGGCTGTAGTAGACTGTAGTGGACTGTAGTGGACTGTAGTGGACTGTAGTAGACTGTAGTGGACTGTAGTAGACTGTAGTGGACTGTAGTGGACATTAGATTGTGACTGGTCTGTCTCCTCTGGTCCTCAGCCCCCAGTGCCCCGCCTCAGCAGGTCACCGTCCTGACCGTGGGCAGCCAGAACAGCACCTCCATCAGCATCTCCTGGGACCCCCCTCCTCCGGACCATCAGAACGGCATCATCCAGGAGTACAAGGTGGGCCTCACACCAGCAGCCAACACAGACCATGGCAGATACATTTGGTACCTCTGATTGTACCCATGCTATTATGAATATTTCTATTAGTCCTAATAAGTCCTCTACTCTACCCTACTCGACTCGACTCTACTCTACTCTACTCTACTCTACTCTACTCTACTCTACTCTACTCTACTCTACTCTACTCTACTCTACTCTACTCTACTCTACTCTACTCTACTCTACTCTACTCTACCCTACCCTACTCGACTCGACTCTACTCTCCCCTGATTGGGACTGGTTCCTGTGGTCCTGTGTAACCAGTACCAGGTCGTTCTTTAGTCCCTCTTGGTCCTGGTTCTATCCAGGCCGAGCTGGTACTAAAGTGTTCTAACTGACAATCATTGGCCAGAGTGCTGCTGGAAGCCACGGTTACCAAGGAATTTCACTGGATACCGGTTTGTTGTAGGTACGTGTCTAGGTGACTGTGTCAGATACTAACGTGTAATTGAAACAAAACCTCTGACCCTGACCTCTGACCCCTCCGTGTGACTCTTCTGCAGATCTGGTGCCTGGGCAACGAGACGCGCTTCCACGTGAACAAGACGGTGGACGCTGCCATCCGCTCGGTGGTGGTGGGGGGGCTGCAGATGGGGGTGGTGTACCGGGTGGAGGTGGCGGCCAGCACCAGCGCAGGGGTGGGGGTCAGGAGCCCGCCTCAGACCATCCTCATCGGTAAGTGACCAACACTCACTCTGCTGACCATCACTGAGGACGTCCTGTTTGTGGCGTGGGACTCTCTCCTGCAGGACTGAGGCTGTAGACCCAGGACTGAGGCTGTAGACCCAGGACTGAGGCTGTAGACCCAGGACTGAGGCTGTAGACCCAGGACTGAGGCTGTAGACCCAGGACTGAGGCTGTAGACCCAGGACTGAGGCAAGACCCAGGACTGAGGCTGTAGACCTAGGACTGAGGCTGTAGACCCAGGACTGAGGCTGTAAACCCAGGACTGAGGCTGTAAACCCAGGACTGAGGCTGTAGACCCAGGACTGAGGCTGTAGACCCAGGACTGAGGCTGTAGACCCAGGACTGAGGCTGTAGACCCAGGACTGAGGCTGTAGACCCAGGACTGAGGCAAGACCCAGGACTGAGGCTGTAGACCCAGGACTGAGACTGTAGACCCAGGACTGAGGCTGTAGACCCAGGACTGAGACTGTAGACCCAGGACTGAGGCTGTAGACCCAGGACTGAGGCTGTAAACCCAGGACTGAGACTGTAGACCCAGGACTGAGGCTGTAGACCCAGGACTGAGGCTGTAGACCCAGGACTGAGACTGTAGACCCAGGACTGAGGCTGTAGACCCAGGACTGAGGCTGTAGACCCAGGACTGAGACTGTAGACCCAGGACTGAGGCTGTAGACCCAGGACTGAGGCTGTAAACCCAGGACTGAGGCTGTAAACCCAGGACTGAGGCTGTAGACCCAGGACTGAGGCTGTAGACCCAGGACTGAGGCTAGACCCAGGACTGAGGCTGTAGACCCAGGACTGAGGCTGTAGACCCAGGACTGAGGCAAGACCTAGGACTGAGGCTGTAGACCCAGGACTGAGACTGTAGACCCAGGACTGAGGCTGTAGACCCAGGACTGAGACTGTAGACCCAGGACTGAGGCTGTAAACCCAGGACTGAGGCTGTAGACCCAGGACTGAGGCTGTAGACCCAGGACTGAGGCTGGAGTGAGGCGTGGCTCTTATCTTGCATCCGTCGTTTTTCCACAAACAGTATTCCGTTGTGTGTTTTTATGTTTCGCTGTGTGGATGATTTACGAGCATTGTGTCGGCCTGAGCCTGATTTGACCCAGGACTGATGCGCTGGCCGGCGGCACGCTCTTATTTCCCCCGTGTCCCATAATCCATCTGAGGCAGCCCCAGCTCTGCTCTGTGAGGGGAGAGAGAGAGAGTGTGTGGGTGATAAGGGCTGACTGGTGCATCGCTGTGAAGGCAGGAGGAGGAAATAACACATTCCTCAAAGTTCAGATTATGACTTCATGGCTCAGAACAGGACTGATCCAGGAAGGGCATCTGAGAGGAAAGGCCGAGTATGAACTCCACAAACACACAGTGCATTAGAGAAAGTAAAGTAATACAGGCCTCGAGACCAGTGTCTGTCCAGGACTCAGGGTCAGAGAGACCAGTGTCTGTCCAGGACTCAGGGTCAGAGAGACCAGTGTCTGTCCAGGACTCAGGGTCAGAGAGAGACCAGTGTCTGTCCAGGACTCAGGGTCAGAGAGAGACCAGAGTTTGTCCAGGACTCAGGGTCAGAGAGACCAGTGTCTGTCCAGGACTCAGGGTCAGAGAGAGACCAGAGTTTGTCCAGGACTCAGGGTCAGAGAGAGACCAGAGTCTGTCCAGGACTCAGGGTCAGAGAGACCAGTGTCTGTCCAGGACTCAGGGTCAGAGAGAGACCAGTGTCTGTCCAGGACTCAGGGTCAGAGAGACCAGAGTCTGTCCAGGACTCAGGGTCAGAGAGAGACCAGTGTCTGTCCAGGACTCAGGGTCAGAGAGACCAGTGTCTGTCCTGGACTCAGGGTCAGAGAGAGACCAGTGTCTGTCCAGGACTCAGGGTCAGAGAGACCAGTGTCTGTCCAGGACTCAGGGTCAGAGAGAGACCAGAGTCTGTCCAGGACTCAGGGTCAGAGAGACCAGTGTCTGTCCAGGACTCAGGGTCAGAGAGACCAGTGTCTGTCCAGGACTCAGGGTCAGAGAGACCAGTGTCTGTCCTGGACTCAGGGTCAGAGAGAGACCAGTGTCTGTCCAGGACTCAGGGTCAGCGAGACCAGAGTCTGTCCAGGACTCAGGGTCAGAGAGAGACCAGAGTCTGTCCAGGACTCAGGGTCAGAGAGACCAGAGTCTGTCCAGGACTCAGGGTCAGAGAGAGACCAGAGTCTGTCCAGGACTCAGGGTCAGAGAGACCAGTGTCTGTCCAGGACTCAGGGTCAGAGAGAGACCAGAGTCTGTCCAGGACTCAGGGTCAGAGAGACCAGTGTCTGTCCAGGACTCAGGGTCAGAGAGACCAGTGTCTGTCCAGGACTCAGGGTCAGAGAGAGACCAGAGTCTGTCCAGGACTCAAGGTCAGAGAGAGACCAGAGTCTGTCCAGGACTCAGGGTCAGAGAGAGACCAGAGTCTGTCCAGGACTCGGGGTCAGAGAGACCAGTGTCTGTCCAGGACTCAAGGTCAGAGAGAGACCAGAGTCTGTCCATGACTCAGGGTCAGAGAGAGACCAGAGTCTGTCCAGGACTCAGGGTCAGAGAGACCAGTGTCTGTCCAGGACTCAGGGTCAGAGAGAGACCAGAGTCTGTCCAGGACTCGGGGTCAGAGAGACCAGAGTCTGTCCAGGACTCAGGGTCAGAGAGAGACCAGAGTCTGTCCAGGACTCAGGGTCAGAGAGAGACCAGAGTCTGTCCAGGACTCAGGGTCAGAGAGACCAGTGTCTGTCCAGGACTCAGGGTCAGAGAGAGACCAGAGTCTGTCCAGGACTCGGGGTCAGAGAGACCAGAGTCTGTCCAGGACTCGGGGTCAGAGAGACCAGAGTCTGTCCAGGACTCAGGGTCAGAGAGACCAGTGTCTGTCCAGGACTCAGGGTCAGAGAGAGACCAGAGTCTGTCCAGGACTCGGGGTCAGAGAGGAGGATTATGGGATGTTAGCGCGCCGCATGCAAACAGTTTGTTTTAACTTTGTGGTTGTTTCCATTCGCCGTGTGAGTGTGGGACCAGGTCATGAAGCAGACGAAAGATTCAGAATTATTTTAATCCCAAGTTCTGTTCACTTTGTAATTTTGGCGCTCCTTCCTGTCAACCCTGGAAAAATAATTTGATAAAAAGGTCAAATGCATCAAAATGGCAATCCCAGAGCTCTGAAACTGTAAATGGGTTTTGAACAACAGTGAAGTGTGGCTCATCATTTTCAGGGGAGGATCAAAAACAGGTTAAAAAGTGAAAGTGTATTTCTCCATAAACTAGAAAGCCGTGAGTGTAACAAGATTTGTAAAGTGATTTTTGGGGATGTCCAACTTTGTCATCCAAATCAGACGTAGTATCAAAGTGTTTTTAGTAGGGCTGGGCGATAAAACGATAACAATATATATCGCGATAGACATGTGTTCGATATCAATAGAGAATGGGGTCGATAGAATGTTCGATAGTTTAACTTAACTCCGTCAGGAAAAACAGGAAGAAAACACCGGAAGTAAAGCCGACTCATAAGCGCATGGCATTGTGGGGGATGTAGGCAGAGGCTTCTCGACCAATAACAGCCGAGCAGGAACCGCAAAACTCTGTGGGAAATGCAAAAACAACAACAACCGCACCATGCGTAGCGTCCATGGATCTATAGCTCGTGTTTCAATGCCGTGTCAATGGTTATGCACGTACGTGCGCGGAATAACATGTGCGGCGGCAGAGGCAGTGGACAGACACCATGTATTCGGCGAAAGCAAGAGATTAACCTTTTCCTCGGGAAGCATGTGCAGCACAGAGCCGCACGGAGCGGTCACGGGGACACAAGACCCTCAAACAGCTAAACCAGGAGCTAAACCAGGAATAAAAAACCAGGATTAAACCAGGACTAACAACGAGGGACACAGTGTGAACATATTCCTCCAGCCTCATCGCCCCGTGACTGTAAACAAGGCTGCTAAGGTTGGTTAGCCCACACCACAAATATATTTATTTAGGTAAAAAAAACAAAAACTCAATATGTATCGTTATCGACCGATATGAATGACTTATATCGTGATATAGTTTTCAGCCATATCGCCCAGCCCTAGTTTTTAGAGGGTACTGCTTGTCCAAAGTGCACTACAACACTGGAATGTCCCCACCCCAAGATACAGTATGCTTTAATGAAGGAGGGGGGACAACATTACATCTCCGTAATGGCGTCCACATCAAAGAGACTGGGGAACAGAGGGAGACGTGTCAGGGTCAGACTGAGGCACTCACGATGGGGGAGACAACATGACTCTCCCCTCACCTCCTGGGCGTGCTGTGGTTCCAGGTAAGGAGTTCCGAGACGTGTTCATCCACGGAAACCGCAACAACAGCATCACGGAGCAGATCACAGACGTGGTGAAGCAGCCGGCCTTCATCGCGGGGATCGGAGGAGCCTGCTGGGTCATCCTCATGGGCTTCAGCATCTGGCTCTACTGGAGGAGGAAGAAGAGGAAGGGCATGAGCAACTACGCAGGTGACACACACACACTCACCCCTCCTCACCCCTCTCTCCCCCCTGCTCCTCTCTCCCCCCTGCTCCTCTCTCCCCCCTGCTCCTCTCTCCCCCCTGCTCCTCTCTCACCCCTGCTCCTCTCTCCCCCTGCTCCTCTCTCCCCCCTGCTCCTCTCTCCCCCCTACTCCTCTCTCCCCCCTGCTCCTCTCTCCCCCCAGCTCCTCTCTCCCCCCAGCTCCTCTCTCCTCCCTGCTCCTCTCTCACCCCTGCTCCTCTCTCACCCCTGCTCCTCTCTCACCCCTGCTCCTCTCTCCCCCCTGCTCCTCTCTCACCCCTACTCCTCTCTCCCCCCTGCTCCTCTCTCCCCCCAGCTCCTCTCTCCCCCCAGCTCCTCTCTCCTCCCTGCTCCTCTCTCACCCCTGCTCCTCTCTCACCCCTGCTCCTCTCTCACCCCTGCTCCTCTCTCACCCCTGCTCCTCTCTCACCCCTGCTCCTCTCTCCCCCCTGCACTCCCCTGTTCTAACACTGCCTCCCTCTGCCTCCTTGTGTTTTGCAGTTCAGTCCTTCACCTTCACTCCCGCAGGTACTGTTCACTATGAGTCCTCTGCTCTCACTGGTCCATGTCCACTGGTCCCTGTCCACTGGTCCCTGTCCACTGGTCCATGTCCACTGGTCCATGTCCACTGGTCCATGTCCACTGGTCCATGTCCTCTGGTCCATGTCCTCTGGTCCATGTCCTCTGGTCCATGTCCTCTGGTCCATGTCCACTGGTCCATGTCCACTGGTCCATGTCCACTGGTCCATGTCCACTGGTCCATGTCCACTGGTCCATGTCCTCTGGTCCATGTCCACTGGTCCATGTCCTCTGGTCCATGTCCTCTGGTCCATGTCCACTGGTCCATGTCCACTGGTCCATGTCCACTGGTCCAGGTCCACTGGTCCATGTCCACTGGTGTCTGCAAGGTCTCTGTCCACAGAATAAGTTCACACATGGTTTAGGACGGTGCATCTGGTCTTCTCAGTAATGTACTGTATCTGAAGTAAACAGACCAGAGAGGAACCACTCTGTCCTTAGAACCAGAGGAACCTCTCTGTCCTTAGAACCAGAGGAACCTCTCTGTCCTTAGAACCAGAGGAACCACTCTGTCCTTAGAACAAGGAACCACTCTGTCCTTAGAACCAGGAACCACTCTGTCTTTAGAACCAGGAACCACTCTGTCCTTAGAACCTGGAACCACTGTCCTTAGAACCAGAGGAACCCCTTTAGGAATCCTCTCCACACAGACGAACGGCTGTAGATCCAGGACCTAAGCTACAGAACGAGGACCAAGGCCACGCCGCGGTTGTAGAACGTGGACAGTTCCTGTTGTTGTAGAACAATATGACAGCGGGTGAATAGCAATGAACAGCCTACAGCTGAAGTCATAAAGATGACGGATCAAGGAGGAAGTTCTCTCTAAATGCAGTTTAAGATTATAATCTGAAGTCATGTTGAGTCGAGAAGAGATTTGTGCAGAACAGACACTACAGACACCATAAACACCATAAACACCATAAACACCATAGACACTACAGACACCATAGACACCATAAACACCATAGACACTACAGACACCATAAACACCATAGACACTACAGAACCATAAACACCATAGACACTACAGACACCATACACACCATAGACACTACAGACACCATAAACACCATAGACACTACAGACACCATACACACCATAGACACTACAGACACCATAAACACCATAGACACTACAGACACCATAAACACCATAGACACTACAGACACCATAAACACCATAGATACTACAGACACCACAAACACCATAGACACTACAGACACCATAAACACCATAGACACTACAGACACCATAAACACCATACACACTACAGACACCATAAACACCATAGCCACTACAGACACCATAAACACCATAGACACTACAGACACCATAAACACCATAGACACTACAGACACCATAAACACCATAGACACTACAGACACCATAAACACCATACACACTACAGACACCATAAACACAATAGACACTACAGACACCATAAACACCATAGACACTACAGACACCATAAACACCATACACACTACAAACACCATAAACACCATACACACTACAGACACCATAAACACAATAGACACTACAGACACCATAAACACAATAGACACTACAGACACCATAAACACCATAGACACTACAGACACCATAAACACCATACACACTACAAACACCATAAACACCATACACACTACAGACACCATAAACACAATAGACACTACAGACACCATAAACACCATAGACACTACAGACACCATAAACACCATACACACTACAGACACCATAAACACCATAGACACTACAGACACCATAAACACCATAGACACTACAGACACCATAAACACCATAGACACTACAGACACCATAAACACCATAGACACTACAGACACCATAAACACCATAGACACTACAGACACCATAAACACCATACACACTACAAACACCATAAACACCATACACACTACAGACACCATAAACACAATAGACACTACAGACACCATAAACACAATAGACACTACAGACACCATAAACACCATAGACACTACAGACACCATAAACACCATACACACTACAAACACCATAAACACCATACACACTACAGACACCATAAACACAATAGACACTACAGACACCATAAACACCATAGACACTACAGACACCATAAACACCATACACACTACAGACACCATAAACACCATAGACACTACAGACACCATAAACACCATAGACACTACAGACACCATAAACACCATAGACACTACAGACACCATAAACACCATAGACACTACAGACACCATAAACACCATAGACACTACAGACACCATAAACACCATAGACACTACAGACACCATAAACACAATAGACACTACAGACACCATAAACACCATACACACTACAGACACCATAAACACCATAGACACTACAGACACCATAAACACCATAGACACTACAGACACCATAAACACAATAGACACTACAGACACCATAAACACCATACACACTACAGACACCATAAACACCATAGACACTACAGACACCATAAACACCATAGACACTACAGACACCATAAACACCATACACACTACAGACACCATAAACACCATACACACTACAGACACCATAAACACCATAGACACTACAGACACCATAAAGACCATAGACACTACAGACACCATAAACACCATAGACACTACAGACACCATAAACACCATAGACACTACAGACACCATAAACACCATACACACTACAGACACCATAAACACCATAGACACTACAGACACCATAAACACCATACACACTACAGACACCATAAACACCATAGACACTACAGACACCATAAACACCATACACACTACAGACACCATAAACACCATAGACACTACAGACACCATAAACACTATAGACACTACAGACACCATAAACACCATAGACACTACAGACACCATAAACACCATAGACACTACAGACACCATAAACACCATACACACTACAGACACCATAAACACCATAGACACTACAGACACCATAAACACCATAGACACTACAGACACCATAAACACAATAGACACTACAGACACCATAAACACCATACACACTACAGACACCATAAACACCATAGACACTACAGACACCATAAACACCATAGACACTACAGACACCATAAACACCATACACACTACAGACACCATAAACACCATACACACTACAGACACCATAAACACCATAGACACTACAGACACCATAAACACCATAGACACTACAGACACCATAAACACCATAGACACTACAGACACCATAAACACCATAGACACTACAGACACCATAAACACCATACACACTACAGACACCATAAACACCATAGACACTACAGACACCATAAACACCATACACACTACAGACACCATAAACACCATAGACACTACAGACACCATAAACACCATACACACTACAGACACCATAAACACCATAGACACTACAGACACCATAAACACCATAGACACTACAGACACCATAAACACCATAGACACTACAGACACCATAAACACCATAGACACTACAGACACCATAAACACCATACACACTACAGACACCATAAACACCATAGACACTACAGACACCATAAACACCATAGACACTACAGACACCATAAACACAATAGACACTACAGACACCATAAACACCATACACACTACAGACACCATAAACACCATAGACACTACAGACACCATAAACACCATAGACACTACAGACACCATAAACACCATACACACTACAGACACCATAAACACCATACACACTACAGACACCATAAACACCATAGACACTACAGACACCATAAACACCATAGACACTACAGACACCATAAACACCATAGACACTACAGACACCATAAACACCATAGACACTACAGACACCATAAACACCATACACACTACAGACACCATAAACACCATAGACACTACAGACACCATAAACACCATACACACTACAGACACCATAAACACCATAGACACTACAGACACCATAAACACCATACACACTACAGACACCATAAACACCATAGACACTACAGACACCATAAACACCATAGACACTACAGACACCATAAACACCATAGACACTACAGACACCATAAACACCATAGACACTACAGACACCATAAACACCATACACACTACAGACACCATAAACACCATAGACACTACAGACACCATGGACACTACAGACACCATAGACACTTCAGACACTACAGACACTACAGACACCATAAACACCATAAACACCATAGACATCTGACTCTGGTGTCTGTTGACTTCAGTTGTAAAGTAAACCAGCTCAGTGCGCTCTCTGTGATCCTGGTACTTTATGTTTTGATATATTGTCTTAATCCAGATGTGAGTCCATGTGCTCTGTGAACATGAGCCCAAACCACTTCAGAACGAATCCTGCTGAGTCTCATGGTCTCTTACCCTGAAACCATATTATCCCTCATTCAGGACGGCAAAGCTCTCTAAAGCATTCTGAGTTATAGAGAGATGCTAATGCTAAAGTATTATAATCTGTCATGAAAATTGTGGAAGCAGAGACACTGGTCTGAGTCAAAGACAAATGTGTTTTTTCATTTAAATCCACTGTGTATCGACTTAAAAGTGTGAGAATTGTTCTGTCCGGACTCAATACTATGTGAGCTCAGTCAGAGAGAAGCCGCTGCCTCTGCAGAGCGCGACGTGCTTATTAAAGAGCAGCGCTGCTACAGGCTCAGGCTTATCTCCAGCGCTTTAGCAGCTCTCCAACATGTGCCCGTGTGGAGATATGGACTTCAGAGGGGCCACAGCCGGGAGCCCCACCCCACAAAACAGGCTCTGTGTGGGGCTGGAGCGAGCCAGATACTGGGAACAAAGACGCAGAGTGCTAACAGCTAGCATGCGCCTGCAGCTGCATTATGGTATTATTTCACAATAAACATGGTGCTGTCATGGTTTAATGTGGTGCACACTGTTAGAAAAACACATCAGCCTCTTGATTGAGGTCAGTGCAGGGTTAGCAGAAACAATGACACCTGTTCAACATCCTTCTGAGAAGCTCATACCTGTCGGTGTACGTTTATTATGAACAAACAAATAATGAAAATAACACTAATACAAATACTTATAATGTGTGGGTTTTATACAGTGCTTTTTCGTCACCAACGATGGTTCACAGCATTATTCATTTACTATAAACACAGCCACATAACGACTCTATACTATTACAACTATAATCTGTAGCCACAGTATCGAGGCAACCAGTCTGTGCCCCTCCCACCACCACCAACCATCTACTGAGGGTTCTAGATCCAGGACTGAGGCTGTAGACCCAGGACTGAGGCTGTAGACCCAGGACTGAGGCTTCTAGATCCAGGACTGAGGCTGTAGACCCAGGACTGAGGCTGTAGATCCAGGACTGAGGCTGTAGACCCAGGACTGAGGCTTCTAGATCCAGGACTGAGGCTGTAGACCCAGGACTGAGGCTGTAGATCCAGGACTGAGGCTGTAGACCCAGGACTGAGGCTTCTAGATCCAGGACTGAGGCTGTAGACCCAGGACTGAGGCTGTAGACCCAGGACTGAGGCTGTAGACCCAGGACTGAGGCTGTAGACCCAGGACTGAGGCTGTAGACCCAGGACTGAGGCTGTAGACCCAGGACCGAGGCTGTAGACCCAGGACTGAGGCTGTAGACCCAGGACTGAGGCTGTAGACCCAGGACTGAGGCTGTAGACCCAGGACTGAGGCTGTAGACCCAGGACTGAGGCTGTAGACCTAGGACTGAGGCTGTAGACCCAGGACTGAGGCTGTAGACCTAGGACTGAGGCTGTAGACGCTGTCCACAAGGAGCCTGGATCAGTGTCCTTCACATACCATAACATATACATCTCCATCGTCCGTGCCTCTTATTTGTGTCATACATGTGTGTATCTGTCATATTTGTGTGTATCTGTCATGTATGTGTGTCTTGTTTATGTGTGTCTTGTTTGTGTGTATCTGTATCTATCTATAGATGGCTCTAACATTTGCTGTTTCTCCTGTGATTGCAGTGACTTTCCAGAGAGTGGACGGAGGCCTCATGAGCAACGGCAGGTGAGAGCGCTGCCCCCTGTCTGTGTGGAAGAACCTCTGCTACATCTGTGATACAGACTGTGGAGAGAGAGACCAGAGAGAGAGAGAGAGAGAGAGACCAGAGAGGAAGCAGAGATACCAGAGAGAGAGAGAGAGAGAGAGAGAGAGAGAGGACCAGAGAGAGAGAGAGAGAGAGAGAGAGAGAGAGACCAGAGAGGAAGCAGAGATACCAGAGAGAGAGAGAGAGAGAGAGAGAGAGAGAGAAGCAGAGATACCAGAGAGAGAGAGAGAGAGAGACCAGAGAGGAAGCAGAGATACCAGAGAGAGAGAGAGAGAGAGAGAGAGAGAGGAAGCAGAGATACCAGAGAGAGAGAGACCAGAGAGGAAGCAGAGATACCAGAGAGAGAGAGAGAGAGACCAGAGAGGAAGCAGAAAGACCAGAGAGAGAGACCAGAGAGGAAGCAGAGATACCAGAGAGAGAGAGAGAGAGAGAGAGAGAGGAAGCAGAGATACCAGAGAGAGAGAGAGAGAGAGAGAGAGAGAGAGAGACCAGAGAGGAAGCAGAAAGACCAGAGAGAGAGACCAGAGAGGAAGCAGAAAGACCAGAGAGAGAGACCAGAGAGGAAGCAGAGACACCAGAGAGAGAGAGACCAGAGAGGAAGCAGAGATACCAGAGAGAGAGAGAGACCAGAGAGGAAGCAGAGATACCAGAGAGAGAGAGAGAGAGAGAGAGAGAAACCAGAGAGGAAGCAGAGATACCAGAGAGAGAGAGAGAGAGAGAGAGACCAGAGAGGAAGCAGAGATACCAGAGAGAGAGAGAGAGAGAGAGAGAGAGAGAGAGAGAGAGAGACCAGAGAGGAAGCAGAGATACCAGAGAGAGAGAGAGAGAGAGAGAGAGAGACCAGAGAGGAAGCAGAGATACCAGAGAGAGAGAGAGAGAGAGAGACCAGAGAGGAAGCAGAAAGACCAGAGAGAGAGACCAGAGAGGAAGCAGAGACACCAGAGAGAGAGAGACCAGAGAGGAAGCAGAGATACCAGAGAGAGAGAGAGACCAGAGAGGAAGCAGAGATACCAGAGAGAGAGAGAGAGAGAGAGAGAGAAACCAGAGAGGAAGCAGAGATACCAGAGAGAGAGAGAGAGAGAGAGAGACCAGAGAGGAAGCAGAGATACCAGAGAGAGAGAGAGAGAGAGAGAGAGAGAGAGAGAGAGAGACCAGAGAGGAAGCAGAGATACCAGAGAGAGAGAGAGAGAGAGAGAGAGAGAGACCAGAGAGGAAGCAGAGATACCAGAGAGAGAGAGAGAGAGAGAGACCAGAGAGGAAGCAGAAAGACCAGAGAGAGAGACCAGAGAGGAAGCAGAGACACCAGAGAGAGAGAGACCAGAGAGGAAGCAGAGATACCAGAGAGAGAGAGAGACCAGAGAGGAAGCAGAGAGACCAGAGAGAGAGAGACCAGAGAGGAAGCAGAGATACCAGAGAGAGAGAGAGAGAGAGAGAGAGGAAGCAGAGATACCAGAGAGAGAGAGAGAGAGAGAGAGAGAGAGAGAGAGAGAGACCAGAGAGGAAGCAGAAAGACCAGAGAGAGAGACCAGAGAGGAAGCAGAGACACCAGAGAGAGAGAGACCAGAGAGGAAGCAGAGATACCAGAGAGAGAGAGAGAGAGAGAGAGAGAAACCAGAGAGGAAGCAGAGATACCAGAGAGAGAGAGAGAGAGAGAGACCAGAGAGGAAGCAGAGATACCAGAGAGAGAGAGAGAGAGAGAGAGAGAGAGAGACCAGAGAGGAAGCAGAGATACCAGAGAGAGAGAGAGAGAGAGAGAGAGACCAGAGAGGAAGCAGAGATACCAGAGAGAGAGAGAGAGAGAGAGACCAGAGAGGAAGCAGAAAGACCAGAGAGAGAGACCAGAGAGGAAGCAGAGACACCAGAGAGAGAGAGACCAGAGAGGAAGCAGAGATACCAGAGAGAGAGAGAGACCAGAGAGGAAGCAGAGAGACCAGAGAGAGAGAGACCAGAGAGGAAGCAGAGATACCAGAGAGAGAGAGAGAGAGAGAGAGAGAGAGAGAGAGAGAGAGACCAGAGAGGAAGCAGAGATACCAGAGAGAGAGAGACCAGAGAGAGAGGAAGCAGAGATACCAGAGAGAGAGAGACCAGAGAGGAAGCAGAGATACCAGAGAGAGAGAGACCAGAGAGGAAGCAGAGATACCAGAGAGAGAGAGAGAGAGAGAGAGAGAGAGAGAGAGAGACCAGAGAGGAAGCAGAGATACCAGAGAGAGAGAGAGAGACCAGAGAGGAAGCAGAGATACCAGAGAGAGAGAGACCAGAGAATAGGGAGACTGGAGAGAGAGACCAGAGAGGAAGCAGAGATACCAGAGAGAGAGAGACCAGAGAGGAAGCAGAGATACCAGAGAGAGAGAGACCAGAGAGGAAGCAGAGATACCAGAGAGAGAGAGAGAGAGAGAGAGAGAGAGAGAGAGAGACCAGAGAGGAAGCAGAGATACCAGAGAGAGAGAGAGAGACCAGAGAGGAAGCAGAGATACCAGAGAGAGAGAGAGAGACCAGAGAGGAAGCAGAGATACCAGAGAGAGAGAGACCAGAGAATAGGGAGACTGGAGAGAGAGACCAGAGAGGAAGCAGAGATACCAGAGAGAGAGAGACCAGAGAGGAAGCAGAGATACCAGAGAGAGAGAGACCAGAGAGGAAGCAGAGATACCAGAGAGAGAGAGACCAGAGAATAGGGAGACTGGAGAAAGAGACCAGAGAGGAAGCAGAGATACCAGAGAGAGAGAGACCAGAGAGGAAGCAGAGATACCAGAGAGAGAGAGAGAGAGGAAGCAGAGATACCAGAGAGAGAGAGAGAGAGGAAGCAGAGATACCAGAGAGAGAGAGACCAGAGAGGAAGCAGAGATACCAGAGAGAGAGAGAGAGAGGAAGCAGAGATACCAGAGAGAGAGAGACCAGAGAGGAAGCAGAGATACCAGAGAGAGAGAGAGAGAGAGAGGGAAGCAGAGATACCAGAGAGAGAGAGACCAGAGAGGAAGCAGAGATACCAGAGAGAGAGAGACCAGAGAGGAAGCAGAGATACCAGAGAGAGAGAGACCAGAGAGGAAGCAGAGATACCAGAGAGAGAGAGACCAGAGAGGAAGCAGAGATACCAGAGAGAGAGAGAGAGAGAGAGGAAGCAGAGATACCAGAGAGAGAGAGAC